GTGTGATAGTTGTTGTTAGTAAATTCTGATTATTCTTTATTAACACGATTTGCTGAAGCATATAAAAGTGCATATAAAAGTGATTTTTTTAAAAAAGCAAACTACTTTTGCAATTATATCCACCAGATGGCTCTTTTGAGCCATAAAGGCCTGGATTTCTCCATTTTCATTTTAATATTAGTGCTAGTCTACATTATATATAACACGCAAGCACACATATACTAATACAAATTAATATAAAGTAAGAAAGAAAAAGAAAGGCATGAAAGACAGAGATGGTTAAACTGCAAGAAAGAAAAAGAAAGAAAAGAGAAAAAAAGAAAGAAAAAAGATAGAAGTATTTCTGATCTTCTTTAAAACAGTAAGTACAATTATAAATTTACCAAACACTGCATGGTTACAAAAAAAATTTTCCATACTGTCTAAAACCATAAATCATGTTTATCTTTTTGTTTTACCAGAAAGACCCTAAGGGTTTTGCAGTCCCTTAGGGACTGCAAACATAGATCTTGTGGTTTTTTTCTATCAAGTTGACCATCTTAGCAAGTTCTATCATTTTCACCAACCATTCCTCCATGGTAGTAGCACAGAATCTTTTCATCTTTGTACAATCTGAGGACCCAGATTGTTGGGGGCAATATGCTGACTCTCTGTAAACCGCTTAGAGAGGCCTGAAAGGCCTATGAAGCGGTATATAAGTCTACTGCTATTGCTATTGCTATTGCTACATACTATAATCTTGCTGCAGTCATCACATACAAAAACAAAGTTCCACGACTTTGTCCAAAAGAAAGACATCTGGTCTCAATTACATATTAATCTTTAAAATCCTTTGTATTAGAGTGGTAGTTAAGGCTACAAGCTAGAAACCAGGAGACCATGAGTTCTAATCCTGCCATAGTTGCAAAGTCAGCTGGGAGGGGGGGGTTGGACAGTTCCCTCCCTTTCAGCTCTAGGAAGGAGACAATGGCAAACCACTTCTGAAAAACCTTGCCAAGAAAACTGCAGGCACTTGTCCAGTTGGTCTCCAAGAATCAGACATGATTGAAAAGAAGAAGAAAATGCATCTTATATTCTGATATATCATCATGGTTCATCAGTAAAGTTTTATAAATATAATGGCAATGGAAAAAATGTGATGAGCAACAATGGAATTTTAAAAATTTGGAAAGGAATAAAAAATACATATTTTTTTTTAATGTAAATATTAAATTTCAAGATGTGGCTTATTCAACATATGTTACAGGCTCTTACATAATCGATGCAAATTTCAGAAAGAAATATACCGTATTTTTCAGAGTATAAAACGCACTTCCCCGTCCCTAAGAGGCTGAAAATTTGGTGCGTCTTATATTCTGAATGTAGCTTTTTCGAAGCTTTTTTTTCCAGTCCTAATGAGGTGCTAATGAGTGATCTTCAGTGCTTTGCCTGCTTTTCTCATTGCTCCTCTCTAACGATTAGCTGTGCTTTAGAAACTGTTTTTTTAATCCCCAACCAGGGATAAAAAGCGTGCGCACACGTTCAAAACCAACAAACGTATGTGCTAAATCTGACCAGACTAAGGACGCCAGCCAGATGAATACCTGGTAGGCAGATCTTTTCCCCCTATTTTCCTCCCCAAAATCTAAGATATGACTTATACGCCAGTGCATCTTATACTCTGAAAAATATGGCAAGTCAGGTTCTGTTCAAATAGAATAACAAGTTTAACATTTTGTAGACTTTAGTCATTTTTAAAAAAGGAAGACAATTAGCCCGACTTGGAACAAACCTTCTCAGCCAATATGTAGATAAATGTTACCCAAACACAGCTGCAGTTTTGAAGTCTGTAGCTCAGCAAATTAATTTGTTCTTTAAAAACAGTGGAACATCTAATATTCAGAGTGTACCTCACTGGAATCCTTAAACTTTGACTGACCTTCATTGCTTTAAAAAATATCTCTTTTAGGCAGATGGAATAGGATTTTTTTTTCCTTTTCCTATTAATGATCTAGAGAATCTGTTCTGTTTTGAATTTAATTTTAACCGGCAAGCATATTCTAAGTCCAGAGAAAGGATGAATTTGCTATTTGGCACTTGCATTTTACAGGACTAACGGTGGGAATATTTATGTATTCATTTCCTCGTGCCTAATTGTAAATGCAAAACCTGCAATGTGTGAGGCCATTATATGCCAAATTTCCTATCCCACCCCCAACCATTACTTGTATTGTGTGAACTAGGCATTTCTTAAAAATAGGGATGGAGATGAAGCCACCTATTGCACTATGGTTTTCTCTTTTTTTTAAAGAAATCAAGTTTGTTTTGTCTTATTTTCACATAACCTTGGAATTTTTTTAATGTACATGAAAATCTACTTAAATTGCATTTCTAATTTCTATTTTGGGTGCAATTTCACACACTACATCCATTTCTGCAGGAAATGACCCCAGTATGTATTCATTTATGAACTACTTTCTCTAACTTGCATATTTATTATTATATATCACCTAATGAGAAGGAAGAACCTATTGGAGAAGAGCCTAATGCTTGGATAAATTGAGGGCAAAAGAAGAAAGGGACGACAGAGAATGAGATGGCTGGATGAAGTCACCAAAGTAGTAGGCGTGAGCTTAAATGGACTCCGGGGGATGGTAGAAGACAGGAAGGCCTGGAGGAATGTTGTCCATGGGGTTGTGATGGGTCGGATACGACTTCACAATCAACAACAACAATCATCTGAAATCAGCCACTCAGACATACTTTCTAGAGCTATTATGTCACAACTGCTACTGTAGGTTATGGAAGGCACAGATTGGAGTGTGTTGATAGAATGCTACAGTTCATTATGTGGGATGGAATGTAGTCTGGAATCCAAGAAGGGAGGGACTGTTTCTCAGAAGGCAAAGACGCAGAACTTGGAAAGGAAGTGGCTTATGATGCCCCCCACCAACAGTTCACAGAGTATGTCTATAGTTATGTAGATAGTTACTTTAGTCAGGCAGGATTGTCTCTTACAGGTGAACAACTAAAAAGAAACAACTTAGAAATAACACCACATCTCATTCTTGGGTCTTGATATTTCATTTGCTTTTTGGAATTGGGAATGTGCCCGGATACTTTTACATATCCATGAGACATTTAAGAAATGTTAAGGCTGTAAAGTTACTCCTGAGCAACAAATTCTGTGAGGTTCATATGTAAAGAAAGAGGAATTTGTATCTCCTATACAAGAGCAGTAATAATCAATATCGAAGTATATGCATAACTGACATTATTTATTTAGCAAAAGACATTTGGGATAAACATTATTTTCTTTAAAACAAAGTTTTTGGTTGTTGAAAGCATTCCTTGTTTGAACAACATCTAGTACCTATGGGCCTGATACTCAAATCTAGCAGGGTCAAAGTCTTCATTTATCAATTACTTCCAATATGCTACCCAAGAAAAGGCTCCAATTTTTATAGAGAAGCACTGCAACAAATAATATCATCTTACGCATTAAATGCAACCTTCTAATATACCAATATCAATGTCTACCAGATGTAGGTTCTTCCATCCTCAGTGGTCTTCTACTTTCTAGAACCTTAACAATTTTATATTCTGCATAGTTTGTCAAGTAAACTGACTGACACATTAATATACATTGATCACTGAGTATTTGATAAGTTATAAAAAATTATGAGGACCTGATTTGTTTGACTGTTTCATAAAAATACCATTACTGTCTGTGACATTAGATTATGGAATACTTTGTAACGTTATAACATGTATGCCCATACCATTTGGATCCTGGACTCAAAAAATGATAATATGCTATGCTTTAGCCCTAATTGTTTCCTTAGATCAATGGGAAAAGAGGTTGAATACAAGGAGAATATCTATGGAACAAGGATTCATTTAAAGTTAGATACAGCTCTTAGCCCAGACTGTTTTTCTATCTCATGACAGGTCACATTTGAAAGAGGATCCTCACAATTAACTAGGGTGGAAGCAAAACAAATACCGTATTTTTCAGAGTATACGATGCACCTCCAACCCAAAAAAGAGGGTGAAAATCTGGGTGTGTCTTATACAGTGAATACAGCATTTTTGGCCTCCTGAAACTCCACCCCAAGCATCCCGTTTTTCGCAAAAATGGACACACAAGGGTTTGGGAGGCTTGAAAAGTGCTCCTGGGGGCTGGGGAGGGCAAAAACCAGTGAAAACAGGGCCCTTTTTGCAAAAAATNTCTATCTATCTATCTATCTATCTATCTATCTATCATCTAACTCTAGGCAGTAAGTTTGTTGAAGGAATAAAGCTTGTACTTTTCCTCTCTTCATAACACAATGGTCACTGGGTGAATACCCTTAAGAGAAAATAATCTTAATTACTAGAGAATAAATTGTTCAGAATTTATTTGCATGTTAGGCTACAAGAAATCTCCATGTTGGAGACAGTAACTCAATGAGTATCAATTCCGTGGGACAAACTAAGAAGGGCTGGAGGCTTCATCATCTTTCTGTGTCTTTTACAGAAGCAACTGACTGGTTGTGGGACTAGATGTTGGGCTAGATCAGAGGTGTCAAACTCAAGGCCCGGGGGCTGGATCCGGCCCATGGGGTGCTTAGATCTGGACTGTGGAGCCACCCTGGAAATAGTGAAGGACTACCCTGCAGTGCCTCTGCCAGTGAAAATGGAGCTCACGAGGGCTGCGTGCGGCTCTCCCGGCCTCAGTTTTCTCTGGCAGAGGGTTGCAGGAAGACATCCCAGACAAAAATGGAGCTAGGGAGCCCGTTTTCGCTGGGACTGTGCTTGGACCGCCACAGGCATCCCCCGACACAAGTGATGTCATGCTGGCCATGCCCCCTTGCCACGCCCCCCCAAACACAACCCTGATACAGCCCTCAATGAAATCGAGTTTGACACTCCTGGACTAGATGGATGCTTTATGCTATCATTCCCATTCTCTTAAGGCGCTGTATGAAAAATACAGAATATATATATACCCAAGTACCTCTACTATAAACAGATTGAATTCAACCACATTCTGAGAATCAGAGATTAATGATTTTGAGAGTTAAAAATGTATGTTTATCTAGTTTCGATATAAACACCTTTTTTAGTCCAAGGGCCATATCAGACCTTTAAGAAGAGTATAAAATACTGCACTATAAAAATTAAATAAGTCCAGTACAAGAGCAGGCACACAATAAAAAAAGCTGAATTGAATGTATATGATTCTAAAATTAATTTTGCTTTAAAATTTAAAACAGTAGACATGCGCCTATCCCACACTTTAAACAATTTTCCACTTCTGATGCATTAAAAACCACATTTCATTTGCAATTTTTGCAGGAATTCTAGGGTCATACCTGGAGCTTCCAGAGACTTCATTTGGTCTTAGGAACTCACATGCTTTAAAAAAGAGTTGTTCATTGTTCAAGACCTACCTTGATTCATTAGAACCAGGCTTCCCACCAGCAAGGCCAAACAGTTGGTAGGCTGATGGTTATGTAGGTATTGGAAACCCCATCCACGCCTATATGAGGCTTCATACATATATCCTGAGGCATTGGCAATTACTTCCAGAAATTTTTCCTGCTGGGACTTGCTAAGGTAGTTATATAAAAAGTCATAAGCAGTGGCAAATCCAACCAAAGAGTGAGCAAGGGGAACCTCATCCCATGGAGCATCCTTCACTAACCTGTAAAAGAGGAAAGGCGTCACTTCTACACAGCTTATAGATGGCATGATGTAGAAACATTACTATTTAAACTTTTCAGACTTTAAAACAGAAAACTGAGAATGGCATCAAACAGCTGATACTGAGCATGCGGATTTCCACTCATACATTCATCTTTCCCTACTTTCAGTTTTTTCATTGCTTGGGGCTGAAGACCCATGGCATATAAAAATTGCATACAGATTAATGTAATGTAATTTAGAAATGTGTAGGAAATAACCTGAACTCTGCCTCCCACAACAGAAAAGATGGGTATCATTTGTAAGCCTCCCAGGTATCACACAAATTTTTTTTTTTGAGATAAAGAAACTACATCATTAAAATTGTGGGTTTTTTCTGTCTGTACAAAACCACGAATTTAGATTTAATTCAAGAGTTTGTAAACCTAGTTTCTCCTCTGAGATCAACATTGCAATTTCAAACAATGTATAGTAGTTCATTCTGTTTTTCAATTCATTAAAAACTAGTTTGAAAATTCATCAGTTATATTTGCTCTAAAATAACCCTTTCTGAATCAAATTGTTGTTGTTATCCAGAGAATCAAGAAGACAAACTTCTTGATTTGCTTGTATTAAAAAATCAATATGTTTTCCCTTTTAACATATGAGATGGTATCTGACATCACATTTCCTCCATCATGTGAGGCCAAGCAACCAGGGAAGGTTAGTCTTCAATCTTTGCAGAGTTCATATGATATCAACTGAAACAGTGATTACATGGTTAATTTCTTATTCGCAGAACAATATTTCAGTTAATATTTTAGTATCTAATATTATCTTTTTAGTTCTGCTTTTTTATTCAGCCTATAGTATGACCTATAGTCTTGCTTGGTTTCCACACCATTGATCTTATGTAAAAGCAATACAAATGTTACTGATATTTTGGTTCTAGATTCTTTTTAAAATGTTTTAGTATTATGAACTATTCTACTGAGGATTTTTTGCAAGAGGAGAAGCTATAATAAATAATCCAACATTTATATTTTGCTGTCACATAGCCCCCAGATATTTGTATCATGTGGTTTTTCTCTACAGAATATCACTCAAAAGTGGTAGACAATATTATTATGACAATATTATTCACAATACTATTATTAAAGCTTGCACTTTCATAAAAAGTATTGAAGTACTGATGATTCCAATGTAGGATCACATTATCTTTTGCACATTAAAAATAATAGATCTCTTCATATTTGGGACAAAACATTTCCTGATGACCCCAAATAAGGTTCAGCGATTATTTGGACAGGCAGTTTTACCAAGCAACGGGAGAACCTCTTCAAAACTGATGGTTGTAATGTTGAAGTACAGAATCCTCTCAAAGTCTTAAGCTGCTTAGAGGGCTTCTCCCATGGAATGAAGATGGAGATGCAGAGCAAACACTTCCACATGGACTGGTAGCTTTTAAATGATCTCGATAGCTTCATCTTCACCACACATTGTAATAATCAAGTTTACAGCTGCATATTTTGATTTTGAGAAGGATATGATGGCTCAGTGGTTAAGACACTGGACTTGTTGGCTGGAAAGTTGACAGCCCAGTTTCAAAACCCAAGTACTGCGCAATGGGATGAGTTTTTATTCGCACCCCAGCTCCAGCTCACCTAGCAGTTCAAAGTATGAAAATGTGACTAGATAAATAGATTCCATTTCGGTGGGAGGGCAACAGTGTTTGTTGCGCCTTGCCATACAGTCATACTGGCCACATGACTACAGAAATGCTTACAGACAATGATGCTCCCTTGGCTAAGAAGTGGAAATGAGCATCGCGCTCTAGAGTCAGACATGATTGGACGGGGGAAACCTTTGCCTTTATTTTGATTTTAATTAACATTCTTATTGAATTTGTGAATTATTTTGGCAAAGTAGAATTTTAGAAACCTGTTGGTTAGATCATCAATTAATTAAACACTCACAGTAGCCCCTGTGGCCCGGATTCAAGACTATCTTTGCCTGAAACACATTGATATAACATTACTTGCCAGAAACCTGAAGATATATTTTAGCATATGCCAAGCATTTATAGAGTTTTAGCTACAGAACATAATCCATACTGTATTTTACTATAATTTATAAACTGTTCATGGAATTGTCTATGATGACAATTATTTTCATCCAATATGTTGAATGTCTTCTAAGAACTGTAGAGTCTGATCAGGGAATTATAGTACAATACACTGAGAGAGTCATTTTGATCTAGGCTAGAAATCAGGAGACTGAGTTTTAATCCTGCCATAGGCATGAAAGCCAGATGGGAAACTTTGGACCAGTCACTCTCTCTCAACCCAAGCCCCCTTACAGGTTTGTTGCTGTGGGGAAAACAGGATGGGGAAAGGAGTATCAGAGTTATTTATAAAACTAATTGGAATAAAAAAATCTCTAAAGAAATAAATTTAACTGACAATATAGAACAATAAAATTACAGTGATAATTAAATTAAATTAATAGTGTTACCTCTGTTTCAAAAGAGATTAAGGTAAAGGTTCCCCTCGCACATATTTGCTAGTCATTCTCAACTCTAGGGGGCAGTGCTCATCTCCGTTTCAAAGCTGAAGAGCCAGCGCTGTCCAAAGATGTCTCTGTGGTCATGTTCCTGGCATGACTAAATGCTGAAGGCGCATGGAACACCGTTACCTTCCCACCAAAGGTGGTTCCTATTTTTCTACTCGCATTTTTACATGCTTTCGAACTGCTTGGTTGGCAGAAGCTGGGACAAGTAACAGGAGCTCACTGTTACACGGCACTAGGGATTTGAACTGCTGAACTCCCGACCTTTCTGATCGACAAACTCAGCATCTTAGCCACTGAGCTACTACATCCCAAAAGAGATTACAGATAAGCATTTAGAAGAAAAATAGGTCATGCGATTAACTGAAAAAAGATACATTTAAGGTACAAGTTATCTGAGCACAAATGAAGATTTCAAGCTGTAGTCCAAGAGCCAGCATCATTTAAAGTACTTAGATGCTTTATCAAGATTATTCTGTTTTGATAAAGTAAAGAAAAACAAAGATGCCTTTCAAACCACACAGAAATTTTGAATTTCACCATTGCTTACAAGCATCTTCCTAAACTGGAGAAAAGTCAATATTCTGTTTTGGACCTCCAAACTGAAGTTTCTAAATTCAGAATGGACTTTCAAATGCTAGCTTATGACATGTATACTGCAATACACTAAAAATGATAATGCTTACACAAAACTTAGACGTACACAACATTTACACAATACAATACGAACAGGAGCTTCCTGTTCTTTATAATAGCAATTATCAATCGATACCGCTCATCTTAAAAGTTTTGTGTTTGTGTATTTTACATGTTTGTTAATAAAAAAAATAAAAATGATAATGCTTATTTTAGATATAAGTTTTAAAAATAGGTATTCCCTAAAAACATAGTTATGAAAAGAAACCAAAGCATTTTAGACTCCTTTACTCCTCTTAATATATTCCAAATATGCACTGTATAGTTATGTTTTGCAATAAAAACAAGATAAAAATCTACCAACTAGGCTGAGCCGCCATTCTTTCCATGTAGTCTTTGGCCATGTCAATGGCTTCCACGTTGTCTGGATAAAGTATGCAGAACATTGCCAGGGCACCCAAATTGTTGCCATATATTTCATTCCACCGAGCACTGAAGTCTTTGGGATCCCAGGGAGGAAGATACTCCAAAGAGTTTGACAGCATGATTTGCACAGCTTCAACCAACCGAGCTGCAATGTGTTGATGTGTAGTGCCTGCCTTATATCGGAGATCCTGTATCTCTCGTCTAGAGAAGTAGAGCATTGGGTAGTTGTCGTAGTTGGCATTGACAAATGGAACAACAGTGCTTGGGTTGTTGTCAGTGCTGCAGATTAGTGCAAAGCAAACCACATGTATGAAAAACACACTGGGAGCCCCCCGTGTGTGAGTCCTCATTGTGGCATTAGAGCTCCAGGTCTTGAAGGCAGCCAAATCATTTTTGAAGGAGCCTAGATGGCAAAATAAGAATGAAAAGTGAGGTCAATGGAATAATGGCTGACATTTTTGTCTAAGACACTGGAAAGTATATGGGAAAATTCAGGTTTTAAATACAAACAATACCTCTGTACCAATTTATTTTACTACTGGTTCACTCGTGTGTGCATGCACGCTTCCGTGCATGCGCAGAAGCATCTGGGTGGGTGTGCGGAGCCTCCCGCCGCCACCACTTCCGGTTCTCCTGATCCTGGGCAAACCGACAGAAACCCATCTCTGTTCTACCCAAGTTCTTTCCACAAAAATTAGGAGCAGATGTATTACAATACATACAGCGCACAGTATAATTAAATAAAATCCTATGTACTGCTTTGTGTCTTCAAATACTATTCCTGACTAAATTCATTGGCCTAAATGGTATCCCAGTGACTGGTTGATAAATAAGCAGAAATAAAACTATAGGCCAGGAAGTGAGAAAATAATCCTAATGGATTATTTAAAAGTTATACATAACGTTTGCAAACATGATATATTATCAATTGTATCTTTTTTTAATCTAGTGCAATGATGGCTAACCTTTTTTGGATCATGTGCCAAAAGTGGGGGGAGCACAGGGGGATCGTGCACGGGAGTGCCCACACCCATAATGCTATGTGTGTGACACCCCCTTGTGTGCCTGCAACCAGCACAAATCCCTGCTGCTTTTGGCATGCTTTTTTCGCCCTTCCCAGGCACCAGAGGCTTCCTAGGAGCCTGGGGAGGGTGAAAACAGCCTCCCTTGCCCACCCAGAGGCCCCCCTGGAGGTTTCAGGAGCTTCCCTAAAGGCTCCAGAGGGTAAAAAATGGCCATACAAGCAAACCGGAAGTCTGTTCCTAAAGTTCCGGTTTGCCTGTAGGGCCGGTTTTTCGTGCTCTGGAGGCTTGAGCTGACAGGGCAACGCCTCGTGTGCCCTAACAAATGGCTCTGCATGCCACCTGTGGCACACATGCCATAGGTTCGCCATCATGGATCTAGTGGTTATGTTTAATTTCTTCAAACTGTATCAGTATAATCCTGCTGAAAAAGTACAGTGCTGGTAGCATCTTGCATTAATATAATTTGGCGAACAGTGTTTGGGGCTTTTTTGTTTTACTGCAGGAATAGCCCTGAGATCTTTAGAATCTCTGATGCACTTTCGAACCTATATGTGACAGTATAATTAGGCATAACTAAATTCTAAGATGTAAAAAAAAAATTTTCACCCATCAAAATAATTTAGAATGCCTAATGTAAAACATTTCTTACTGTGCTTGCAGGAAAGCAGGAAGAAAAGAAGAGAGACAGGGATTATGTGAACCTCTGCCAAGATTGTGAATGTTCAATTGGCTGAGGTTCACAGCTGTAGAGTAAAAGATCTGGAATGTGGGAGGTGTCAGCAAGGGTCATTTTTAAAGACTCTGGTTGTGACACGTCTTCATTAAGAGAAACATTGGAAAAAAAACATACACAGCAGAGTAGAATCCTGGAAATATATTTGAAATATCTGGCCTTTAGGGTATGCATGTTTTTTCCCATTCAGTCAAAAGAATCCTTCCATTTGGCTTGCTGAGATTTACAGCTTGCAGCTAAAAAGTTTAACATTAAATAGAAGCATGTATTTCCCCAAATATGTGCCCATTTTAAAAGGCTTGAAAATGGCAAACTGCATGGAAGTAAAACAAACGAATGTTTTAAACATAGCCATGTACCCTCCCCTTTTTTCAAAATTACAAATCATTTCAACTTTGGTCTTAGATGAAACTGCCTAGGATTTCCCAGAGGAAAGTCAGAGAATTCCTGAAATTCTCCAAAGGGGAAAGGTTAGAGAAAACGGGACCAAGAAAGATAGATTTACGTAAATAATGAACACTAGTTTTCAATTATTAAAACCAGAAATAGGCCAAGGGAGAAAGTGTGACATTGAAAACCTACTGTACAATTTTATTTTTCCTGAGGAAAAGCTGTTTCATAAAATTCAGCTACAGGAAAAGTACGTAAGAAGCTAAAACAAACAGAAGCCATTACACAGTGATCAAGTTTTCCAAACTAGGGGCCAATATTAGGCTAATAAATTATTGTTTTGAGGGCAGAAATAAGGATGCAAATACTGATGACTGCTTATGTGATTGTCATGCCTGAAAAAAGTGCTGAAGAGAATTTAAGAATTCTGATCCTGGTGGAACCACGGTGGTTACAATGTACAATGCAGCTCATAGGCTCCATGGAAATTAATGATCTGGGTGAACCAAGATAAATCAGTTCTGATTATTTTCTTCATTTTTTAAAATTACTTGTCAAAGGGAATTCCCTTCTTAATTTGTCATTTTGCCACTTGAGGTGACACATGCCAACCCCTGAGTCTGGCTGGCGCCTTAAAGTCTCACTACTAAAGCTTTTCAGGCAGTGGTGGGTGGTACAACCTGAAGTTCTTATGGTGTGTAAATTCCACCAAAGACTATCACAACTTTCCCTAGAAGGGCACTGGACTGTACTAAAGCTTATGTGACAATGGGAGAGGAGTATTTAATACATAGAAAACAATCACATTAACAACAATATAATTTTAATTATATTTGATTTTGATTTGGTGTTATGAAATACATGATCTTCCCTATTCCAGTCCATTTGGGGGAATATTCAACAGTCTAATATCAAATAATCAAAATGAGAACGTTTATTTCTGGTAACTATCTGGACTTTTAACTTGATTCCTGGTGGCTATATGGAAGTGCCTATGTAGCTTTCTTGTCAGCAACACAGAAATAATTTGTCATGCTGTCTTTTGAGACTTATTTATTTATTTATTTATTTATTTATTTGTTTGTTTATTTATTTATTATTCAAAGTTACTGACTTGGTACATCCTGATGGTCTCCCAAACAAGTACTAAGAGGTTCTGACACCAATTAACTTTTCACCTCCACTAATGTTGACTGGCCACTCTTGCAAATCATTTTGCATGCACAGGCAATAGGAGCAATGGTTATAGAGAAAGTAGGCAACTTCTTGCCTGATTTAAAAGACTTATTGTTGCATGTCTGTTAAATAGCATTTCTCTGATTCTCTAAGTCTTTTGTCATTTCTTTCTGCCCTGAATTCAGTTTTCTTTTTTATTCTGAACTGTGCAGTTTAGAAACTTCCCTTTACCACCCCTATCTTAGGATCATCACTACTATAGATAGTAGTAACTTGGGCTTCAATACTGATCATGTTATTTCCTGAATAAAGCTTATCTTTTAAACTCTTAATTTTAGAGTTTCTCTGCCACACGTTCCTTCTACTGTGTAATGCTAATCACTGTCAGTCAGTTTCCATCTACAATATTTAACAAATAAAAAAACTGTTTTTGAGTCCTTCTAACCTTAAATCACTCCTGCAATTACTGACTCTCCTCTTTTACAGCATGAACCAATTACATTATTGACCAATGGACTACAATGTAAGGAGAAACAGTCTAAAAAAAGAAGTCTAAGAATTAGCCTGCTGAATAATATATTCACAGGGCAGAACATAAGATCCTGCCAAAAAAGTTTGCCACAGTCTTGAAAAGAACACTTTAGTATCAGGTGAAAATATTTTCTTCACAATGGTATATTTTACAAGGAAATTCAGGCAATCAAAACCAAGTAAGAGGCAAAGATGCTCCTCCCCTTTTGCATGCATATATTCTCAAACATACACGTAGTTTCTACTTTTTCAAAAACAATTTGTACATGTACTAGACTGAACAAATGAATTAAAGAATCTCTCTACAGAAACACAGAAGCATTTCTGTACTCAGCACTTTGATAGGAATCCCTAGTTACTTATTATCAGTGATGGGATGCTGCCAGTTCGATTCGGGAGAACCGGTTGTTAACTTTCTAAGCAGTTCAGTGAACCAGTGGTCAGAAGAAATGTCACTTCGTTTTTTTTCCCATTTTACAGGGCTAATCTTGTAAGATAGGCAGGAAGGAAACATTCCGGTGTTGTTTCTAGCCTAATCTTTATTGCCCTGCTTACAGAAACTGCCTCTCCGGTTAACCCTTATTACATTGTAACAGCTAAGGCAAAGCGCCCATAATTGTGAATGATCTTGAATTGGCCACACCCACCCAGTCACATGACCACTGAGCCATGACTACCCACTCATTAGGGTAGAGAACCNAATGCTGTATTCAGTGTATAAGACGTACCCAGATTTTCAGACTCCTTTTGAGGGAAAAACGTTGTCTTATACGCTGAAAAATACGGTAACCACTAGCAGTTGGGCTTTTTTCCTAAGGATTACCATAATAATTGATTATAGGATAGTTTGTGTCACTTGCCTGGTAGAACTGTTCTATACATAAAAGCAAAATGTTGTTTAAGCCAGGGATGTTTAAAGTGGTTAATATCAAAATGCCTTTGGACAAGAAATATGTACTGAAAAAGGGATCTGGTGGTATAGCTGCCATAAGCTACACCTTCATACAAGGAGCCATCTGTCACTTCATGTAGTAGAACTATAGATTTCTCCATGATTGTTAGGACTTGCTTAGTCCAAAGGTATGCTTCCTGAAGATAACCTGTAAGAAAAAGATGAACAATGTTATATTAGTAATATGACCTTTTAAAGTGTGAAATATTTGCAAGTTATTTGGGATTGAAATTGGGCTTGTCTACATGTGGTTTTGTACGGAGCTTTTAAACTGGATCTATTCATTGTCTTTATCAAGGGATTTATGTCTTATCAATTACTGGTAATAATAAACCCCCCCCCCCCCAAAAAAAGGAAAAATGTACTCATGGTGAAGTTTTTAAAAAAAATCAAAAGGGTTGCAGTGGAAAGAGCAAACTTAATAATGCTTGGAAATATTCGAGAAGGAAATTAAAAGCTATAGTACATAAAAATATAAAAATATTTACCATGTCTAAATTTGATTTCTAAATTTTTCATTTAGTAAAAATCTAGGAAACATTTAGATAAGAAATAAAACTTTAAGGAGTAGAGATATTTATTTAGAAAAAGAAAAAATGAGAAAACATTTATAAAATTATGCACAGTATGTAGAAAAGGGCACAAGAAACCTTTCTCTTTCACTTAAAATACCTGAAATCTGTGGACAGTGAAATTTATTCTCTATCTATCATCTATCTATCTATCTATCTATCTATCTATCTATCTATCTATCTATCTATCNATCTTGATTCTATCCCTCTGTTTATGCAACCTAGAATGTTGGCTTTTTTAGCAGCTGCTGCACACTACTAGCTTGTATTTAAATGGTTGTCCACTAGGATTCCCCTCCCATTATTATTTAAAATTAATATTGAATTACAGCTAAGTTATATCATATTAAATGTTTCTCTCTACATTTCTCCTTCATTTGGGAAAAATTATCTCTCATTTTTCAGTCTAGAAACTTCATTTATTAGTTAATGATACGTTAATTTATAAGATATTAATTCACACTATGGGGTGTATCTTTTCCCCCATGATAATGACAAGTTTTCTCTACTCAACAATGGTTCTTATGAGACAATTTGAAATTGACATATTGGCTATGCCTTATATATAGTTTGGAAGGTTTTACAGTTCATCAATTTTTGAAAGTATGAAAGTTTTCCTTAAATTTTTTCTCTGTTAAATTAACATTATGAGGTAATCTAAATTTGAAAATAGCAAGGCTGTTGTGTTTGTTTGAGAACTTTTGTGCAGCGGAGAATGCATTATTTAGAGCAGATGTATCAAACATTCAGCCTGTGGACTGGATCCAGCCTGCAATAAGCTACAGAGTTGGCCCATATGGCTGTCCTGGAGATGGTGAGGGACCAGCCCTTGCTGTCCTGGGACCAGCTACCCCACCCAATTGGCCACGCTGACCAGCCATGCCTGCCCCAACCCCCCGAAGGACAAACTCCTGATGTGGCCTGGAATGTGATTAAGTTTGACACCACTGCCCTAGATGCATGAGGAAATGCATCAGGTTTCATATTGATAAGTACAGTTAACTGCTGTATTATGCTGAGATTTTAAGAAATTCCTGATGACTACCTACTAGTTTATATAGATAAGATTTGTATTCTATTAGTGAATTTAACAATTCAGATTTCCGCCGTAAGTTGACAGATGTCATGATTAAGATATCAAATCAATGAATCTTTTTATAAAAAGATTATACAAAGATTCATTCATTCATTCATTTAAATTTCCAGGCCTCTTGTATAGGACCCAAGATTGAGGATGACATATAGTATTGCAGACTAATTCTGCAGACTGCTAGCAGTTCGATCCTGATTGGCTCAAGGTTGACCTTCCATCCTTTCAAGGTTTGTAAAATGAGGACTCAGATAGTTAGGGGCAATACGCTGATTCTGTAAACCACTTAGAGAGCGCTGTAAAGCATTGTGGAATACTGCAAGTCTAAATGCTATTGCTATATGTAAAACAGTCTGTTGTGATATATACCTTTTTTTTTTTTTTTGGAGTATACGAAGCACCGGAGTATAAGACGCACCAAGGTTTTGAAGAGGCAAATTAAAAAAAAAAAGGTTTTGCACTCTGCAAACCTCCAAAAATGCTCCCCCCATTTTAAAAAGGACTTGTAGAGTGCTCGGGGGGGGGGCAAAAACGAGCAAAAACTGCCTGTTTTTGTGAAAACGGGCCCTTTTTTGCCCCCCCAATAGCAGTTAGACTTATATACCGCTTCATAGGGCTTTCAGCCCTCTCTAAGCGGTTTACAGAGTCAGCATATTGCCCCCAACAACAATCCGGNGCTGGGGAGGACAAAAATGAGTGAAAATAGCCCCTCTTTTCAGAAAAATTGGTCTGCTTTCTCCCCCAAAGCCCCAGGAGCACTCTGCAAGCCTTCTAAACTCTCTGCACATCCTGTTCTTTGCAAAAAATTGGCCATTTTTTGCCCTCCCCAGCCCCCAGGAGCACTGTATGGATCTCCCAAACCCTCTGAATCTCCACTTTTTGCAAAAAAAAAAAAACCCAACAAAAAAAAACAGGCCCATTTTTGCAAAAAACATAATGTCTTTTGCTTGTTTTTGCCCTTTCTAGCTCCCAGGAGAACTTTGCAGGCCTCTCAAACTCTCTGCATGCACCCTTTTCACAAAAAATGGGGCATGCAGAGGGTTTGAGAGGCCTGCAGTGTGCTCCTGGGGGCCAGGGAGAGCAAAACCTTTTTTTTAAAAAAAATTACCTCTTCAAAATCTTGGTGCGTCTTATACTCCGGTGTGTTTTATAGTCTGAAAAATATGATAGGTCTGAAGGCTAACTGGAAAGAAATGATATCCACATTTTTAAAAAAATAATGCTCATTGTAATAGCACAGTACTTTAAATCAGGCAAAAACGGTGAAAAGGAATCTATATCACTGAGGACTATTATCTGAGGATTATCCATAAAAATAACAACCAGTAGATTTTGATTAAATCATCCCAGTTGCATACGGTTAAAAATAATAACTCAACTCAGTGACAAGGAGAATTGCTTTTGGAGCAGAAAATTAAATGCACATATTGAATTCAGAATAAAAGCACATGACATTCATTTATAGTACAGACTTGACCCGTATGTTGGTGGTAATCTGAGAAATGTGTCAAATGTCTCAATGCCCATTAATTTCATCTTCTCTGATTAACAGAGAACAATTATTCCATAGATATTTCCTGGAATACATTCAAAAAAGAAAATATATTCTGCACCTTTGCATAAACATACCTAACCATAGAATGGTCAAATAGCATTTATAGTCTTTTTTTTTGCTAGCATTGTGATTGGGAACAAGAAGAATATAGCCAGAGTAATATACAGCTGTCGATTAACAAGATTGCATAAAGGCATCTTTGCCCATGTAAGCTCTTGGCTTTCTGGAACCAGGTGAGTTGCATTGCTAGCATAACAAAGAAAATGACAATATTCAAAATGAGGAAAAGACGTGTGTAAGATGCTGACACCAAAGGAGCACTGCTTCGAGCAGTGGAAAATATTTGGGACAGACCAGGATGAACTTTGATTGGCACATTGTTTCTCTCTTTCGCGTAGGTAATATCTCCAAAATCCAGAAGATCTTTCATTTCTTCTTCTTCATCCACAGGCAATTCTTTTTGGGCTAAGCTTTGTGCTTTTTGCCGAATTTTTCTTTCATTGACTTCGATTTGTGCAAATATATCCGGGCCGGCATCTACAAATTTGTAGCCTTTAGCCACTTTTTTGTTCTTTTTTGCTCTGCCTTGTTGCTGCTGAGAAATTGCAAATATTCTGTCAATGACTTCTTCTGTCTGCCTTTTATCTGAAAAGCGGAGTAGGCGTTCAGCTGTCTTTCTGAAGCTATCTGTGTTCCGCACACGTGAAAGGATCTGCTTCTCTAATAGCTGGAACACAGGCTTGAAATGCTGAAGGTTTTTCTCTACTATCTCAATATTGTCTTTTACTGCCGAAACCGGGGAGTTCCTAATTGCAGAAGCTCGCTCAAACACAACTTTTTGATGGTCTGCAATAACTTGTGCAAAGACAGAGTGGCTTTTATTGTCATCAGCCCACAGATAGATGGCATAAGCATGCTCACTGGTGGTGACAAAAATATCCAGCTGCTGAGCATTCCCATGGACGCTGAAACTCTGGACGTCTATGGAGGGTCCAATGAAGAGGTATACAACTCTAGTGATTGGGCTATGCAGATGAGTAGTGACATTCACGTAGTTTGTCCCGTTGTAAGGATAACCTCTGGGATACATTCTTGATGCAATGGTAGCTTTTTGACTATATCCAGTATCATCCATCCAGTACATCTTGTAGATCCCATCCTGTTGCCGAATGAAGGCTCCGTGGACATTATCAATAACTGTGTCTTCAAAAGGCACATCAACATTGTGGAAGAAACTAGCTGCTACTTTGGCAGGACTGTCATCTTGAAGACATATTTGATCCACTAGCAAGAGAAGCTGGGGATGAAGAAGTAATAGGTTTCTCTGTACACTTTTTAACTTTAGTTTAGGGTGGTAGGCACCTACTCCTTCTCCTCTGATAAAGATGATCTCATTTTTTTCTATAGCAGCAATTACTTTCCCTTGGCAATCTGCAGCCAGATCGTGTTTATATTTCAACCACTTTGATGAGCAATCTTCAGTAACTTGTCCTTCCCAGGGATAAAAACAACTCTTTGATACAGCTGGAGAAAACATAAGCACATTATTTAAAAACGTGTATTTTGGTCCATACAGAGCTTCTGTTATGAAAGGTACACCATTGGGGGCAAAAGTAAATGAGTTCTGATCTGGATGCTCATGCCCAGCATTGAAGTTCCTCCAACCTTTGATCCATTCTTTGTACTTGTTCTGGTGAACCATGTCATAGATTGCACGTCCTCCCAGCTTTCCTGATTTGAAGGAGAGAAAGGGGCTGTTGATTTCGGCTGGCAGAGCACTTCCATATGTTACAACTCCCCAATCCTCGAAATAATGAAGTTTGGGAATACCATAATCTGGTGGAGGGACAAATCCCAGGCTTGAATCATACCTTTCAAAACATAAAGAGAATGAGTTGTTGATCAGTGAATTTCAAGACAGGATAGAAATAATAAAAACATTAAAAGAAACCACATTACTACTATCAACTTTTTTTACTTTGTAAAATCATTTGGAAGTGTTAATATGGAACAATATTCCACCCTGCAATAGTCTTTAATGAAGAAGATTATGGTAAATTTTTGTTTTTTGCTTTGTATAAACAATATATTAGCTCACATTTTAGGAATTCGTTCTTTAACATGGTTCAGAATTTCTGGAAAAAGCACATCTCAAAAAGAGTAAGCTGAATTTGGAAAACTTGGAATGCAAACTTATTTAGAAAAAAATATGCTCCATTCCTGGCTTTCAAATATCTGTCTGGTTTAAATGATGTTTGCACTTGTCCATTAGCAATCCTTCTGCCTTCCCAAGTATAAAACTTGGGAATATATATTTGTTTGGTAAGAATTTTTTTTGGCACATTTTCAAAATTGGTGTTTTGTTTCAAGCAACTTTCCTTTATCTGATATGATAAAAATATCATATTGTTCTGGATGAAAATAATGGGAATTCCACATACTTAGAGGACACTGCATTGGGTTGAACTGGGCCAGATATACAGTGTAATGGGGAAATAGCTTAAAGTTCAATACCCTATTAGAGTATTTCCTTTGTTGCCTGTTAAATAGCTTGAGAAAAAGATGAATGTTTGTATAGTCATAAGAACACCCGGGTGGGAAATTAGGTGAGGTGAACAGGTAGCAAGATGTACTAAAACAAATGTTATTCATCATTTTAAAAAAAGTTTTATTATCAATGGAAGATAGATAGATGATAGTTACACCAGCGCATACACACGCACACATATTCACCAAACCTTCAACCTGAATCTATGCTGTGAAAAAACCCACTATGCAAAAATCCCTGACTATGCAAAATATTGGGCTCAAAAGATGCCTAAGTGGCATGGAAATAGAACATAATGAGTCCTTTAAACCTGCCACCAATCCTCTTAACTAATCAGGGCTTGTTTAAATCAGGGCTTAAGTGGACACATGGCAAACCTCCCTATTAAAATAACTAACACTTCCATATTTGCTTTCAAGTAAGCTTCTTCTAAGCTTAGTTGGATTTACTTCTAAGTATATTTGCAAGAGGATTGCACACTAAAGCTTCCTACTCTAAAACTCCTGCCAAGCCATAAGTCCTGTTGAATACAAATGAATTTACTTTTTAATTGTCATACTCTGAATAATAATTTAAAAATGATTAAAGCAATCCATATTGACTGAAAGGAATTTTGCAGTTATATGTATTTATAGCAAAGCAGGAACAGTTATGTTTCTTACTTTATAATAAATATTGAAATATTATCTGTGATCCTCAATTGTTCAGAGTGCCTCTCAATCTCAGTTGGACAATTTTTAGTTACAGAGACTTGTCTGGTTACTAAGTAAAATATACATTCCAGCTTTCATTGAAGGACATCTTGCAAAACAGAATGGCTATTTCAAACTGCATGTGTATCCACTGTATTTTTTAAAAAATGTTATGATTTCTACTTTCTGTAACTTGCTACACTGCTAGATAAAAGCCCAAGCATCATAAAAAGATTAATGCTCCCTACTTCAAAGGCATTTTGGAGTATGTTAAAAGGTAGTTCCAGCTATTTGAAAATTTCTGAAGTATGCAAATAAACAAAGTCCTTACAAAGCATCCTAAGCAAATTCAAGGCCGCAATACCAAAGGAAGACAAAACAGGAGTAATCTTACAAAATAAAATGCAAGTGTTGCCGCATAGGCCAAAACAGACAAAAGATTAGCAAGATATACATGTATCCTTGAGAATCAGGCTGTGAAAAGACTCAATATGGTTTCCTAATCTAAATAGGATAATCGCGAAAAATTCTCACGAAAGGGAATTCTTAGAAGCCTACATAGTGATCAAGAGATGTATCAAAATTGTATGTATTAAAATTATGAGCACATCATACCACAAATCACAAGCAATCAACCAAGACCTAGAACAACTACAGCCTCCTTACCAACCAAATAATGAAAGCCAAACTATATTTCAACAATCCCAAAATAAAAATCATCACCAAGCAATCATTTTTTTTATCATTTTATTTAAATTTATAGGCCGCCCTTTTCCATAAGGGGACTCAGCAATGCCATCAAGCAGTTATCAAACAAGAAGCAACCAACACAGAAATAAAATAGAGCTGACCCATTATTGGCCCAACAAATAATTTACCAACAAGGCATTAATCATTCGCAAGCAACATCCATTCACAGGATCATCCCATACAACACATGCAAAGCAAGCAAAATGGAAGAATACATAACCTGTGCTAACCAACCAACAACTCTTGTTTCAAGAGTCTGCATGCCTCTGTAACTAGCTGTTTCTGTAAGACTCATTTCATTCCCTGCTCATCCACCTCCAACATGACTTATCTGTTTCTGGAACTAATTATCTTCTCATTTCTGATAGAGAATATAATTTCATGGCACATATTTGGAAAGCTCTAACTCATCTATTGCATAAAAATGTCCATCTGACCCACTTTCCATAATCAAATGATGAATCAAAGTAATGCCACACTAGAGCTGTTGGGCTAACTTCTTGAAAGACAATTGCCATGATCTTTTTTNAGCCTAATCTTTATTGCCCTGCTTACAGAAACTGCCTCTCCGGTTAACCCTTATTACATTGTAACAGCTAAGGCAAAGCGCCCATAATTGTGAATGATCTTGAATTGGCCACACCCACCCAGTCACATGACCACTGAGCCATGACTACCCACTCATTAGGGTAGAGAACCGGTTGTTAAATTATTTGAATCCCATCACTGCTTACTATGTTATTTACTAGTGGTTCTGAGAGACAGACTGTAGCCAGGCAGTCTGCCCAGTTAGATTATGTCAACCTGCATTGTTTTCACACATGAAATACGGTTATTAAAAACCATATCAGCAGCTTTTTGTAGTGTTGATGTCAACTTGGAAAAAAAAATTTCCTCCCATAAAAGTTCAATTATTCAGCAGACTGCACAGAGAGAAAGGCTAAAATGTATTGGTACCACATTACTTTTTTTCCAAAAAGAATCTCAATTTGCCATGAAATAAATTACAGTTGACAAGAGAATATGTTAAATCACACATTAAAAGCAAAATATGAGCTCTGTCGATTGTGGAATAAAGAACTCTGGATGCCATTTGATTGTCTCAGTTTCAACTTATTTCACAACAAATTGGGATTCTTTGGAAAACAGAGGAGTATCAATACTTTTGACCACATTAGTATACGAAAACACAATAAAGAATATATTAATATTCCCTCAATATTCATATTTTATATTTGCTTACTATTTTCAACAACTGTACAGACCCTTTTAGCCACATAGTTTGCAAGTGTTCTATTTATAATGATAATATTAGCAGGTGTAAATTATCTAAATACTATTAGTTCACAAGCTGAGAAAGATTACATTCTACTGCTTTTTGAAAGAATATACCAAGAGTCCAATTTTGAATAAAAATCACCAGAATCAATTATCTTGCTCAAATGGAGTTTTGGCAGTCATAGACTAAGCAAGGTTTTTTATATTATCAAAATCTGTCATTGTCTTAATCAATATGTTGTTGGAATAGCACAGGATAGTAATAGGAACGAACTTAAATTAGCTAGGACGCTATACTGGCTTATGGGTGAATTGTATTCCAATCAGCAAAAAGCCTGAGTCAATGAAAGAAGCCAGATAATGATTCTCTCCCTCTCTTCATCTTCACCAATTCCCAGTAAAGGTTATCATTATCATCTCTATTGGCTATCAGCGCTCACCACTGTATCTGAAAACCTGCTGTATGAAGCTGCACAACACCACCATATACCTCCAGCTACATCATTGGCAACAGATGGACAGGAGACTGCACTTTGTATTAACACATATCAGATAATTTAATAAATGAGTGGCTAATAATATTTCCCCTAATATCTCAGAATTACTTTGAATCAGTCATTCAGGCATTAATATTTTCTGGTAACTTCGATTTTACTGCTGGAGCTCATATTGAAAGAATATAATACTCGTTTAGAGGCAGAAGCCCTTAAGAGTGTGGTATTTGTTCTTCCTCAGCTCCAATTCCCATAGAATAATTATGCAAATGCAAAAAAGCATATCAGAGATTCAGAGATATAGCACAGTAGTTAAAAGGCAGTATTGCAGGCAAACTCTGCCCACAGCCTGGAGTTTGAGCCTGACAGGACCTCAAGGTTGACTATTCTTCCATCATTCATTGGTAAAATGAAGACCCAGATTGTTGGGGGGCAATATGCTGGAACTGTAAACCACTCAGAGAGTGCTGTACAGCAACAGCAATCTTAGTGCTATCGCTACCACTATAATTAAGTGGACAACCACTTAAATATGAACCAGCAATGTGCTGCAGCTGCCAACCCACCCCCCCCCTTCACAATGCAGTCATAGGCTGCATCAATAGAGTGGTAGTATCAAGTCACGTGAAGTGTTAGAACTGCTTTGGTAAGACCATTCACAGAATATTGTGTCCATTTTGGTCACCAGGATACAAAAAAGATGTTGAGACTCTAGAAAGGATAGAGAGAACAGCACCAAAGATGTTTAGGGAGCTGGAGGCTAAAACATATGATGAATAGTTGTAGGAACTGGGTGTTTCTAGTCTAAGAAAAAGAAGGACTAGGGTTGACATGACAGCAGTCTTCCAATATGTGAGAGGCTATCACAGAGAAGAAGTGGTCAACCTATTTTTCAAAGCATCTGAAGGCAGGACAAGAAGTAATAGATGGAAACTTATCAAGGAGAGATCCAACCTAGAACTTAGGATAAATGTCCTGACAGTGAGAACAATAGTGGAATGGCTTTCCTCCAGAAGTTGTGGGCACTCCATCATTGGAGGTGTTTAACAGAGTTTGGACAGCTATTTGTCCAGAAAGAGAGAGGATCTCCTTCTTGAGCAAGGGGTTAG